AGCTTGGGTAATGTTTATATTCTTATTATGTTGTTTGTGATTAGTTCTAGTTCTACTTCCTCTTGAAGTTTATTCAACACTGAATTGGCCTTAATTTCGATTACATGCTTTTATTTTGTAGGTTTGCTGAGGCCTAAGCTGCGAGACTACAAAGGATGATGCCAATGCCTTCGTGCCATGCTTTTGTCTTTTGGATGCCTCTTAGCTTTGGGGTTTTAGGCTGTTGGTAATTTTTTTTCTATTGGGTTAGGGAAGTTGTGACTTCTGCTTCAGTTTGGAGAATTAATATGTTAAGTTGGATATAATGATGTGGTAATCATCCTTTAGATTAAATAATACCGGTATTTTTCTCTGCCTGGGTTTGGTCTCGCTGATTGTTCATCTTTTGTGCCCTTGTTCGAAAATGTGGGCAATTTGGTCATTAATATATATGAGCTATTAGGCCATGTTTGGCGAGTAGGATTGGATTCAATTATGAGATGGAATTGTTTTGCACTGAAATATGCTATTAACGGTCTAACAAGATTAGACACAATCCAATTCAACTTAATCCCAACAATATGATGACCTAATATGATTAGACATAATTGAAATCACAATGTTTTTCTGTCATGCATTTGACTAGGATTATAAATCCTATCCAGCCATATAATTCAAAATCCTATCCAGCCGTATAATTCAGTTCACCAAAAGATTTGCTGGGATGCGTGTTTTATGTGTACTCTGGACAAGTTCTGGTATAGTTGATTTGTGCGACTCTGCTTCCGATTATATTTGCGGGTCAACAACTAAAAGCAGCACGTTGGAGCGGCTGATGTTTGACGACTCGATAGCCCAAGTATATTCTCATTGCACGGTTTTGTTTTTGGTTGTTTGGTGTTGACTCGTGTTTGGGTTGGGCTTTGTGCCATATCTCTGTTCCAAACCAACTCTTAATTGGTGATGCAAAATGGATGTGTGTGATCGCGAAAGTATAAGGAATTTTTGGGGTACCCAATTCTTGTTTTATGCGTGTGTTTAGATTAGTTAATAATTAAGCTAGCTCAAGTAATGTGGGTGAAGTTAGTGGAAAATAACTTAGTTGGTTGAGCTCTTCCACCTCTAAACAGAGGATCAAAAACTCTAGATATTCAATGAATATTTACCCCATTATGGGTAAATGGGAAAATAAACCTTTTTTATTTTACTTTTGAGCAATTACAACAAATTAAATAATTCTAACTCTTTTATCATTTTTTTTGGGATAAAACTGCCTCTATGTTGAGCCAATTATTCGACCTTATAAATATACACGTTCAACTCAAAATGCATAGGTCTTTTCATATGAAAAAAGAATTAGAATTAAAAAAAATTGACAAAAACTCATGGCATGTTTACTAATTCATAATCAGAATTCAACTCTTTATGGATTACTCATGTGTTTACTTCACATGGAGGAATTGGACTCTTGGGTGGGAGGTCGTATTCTATTTCCTGGAGAACTAACCCATCTTTTTTACCCATTATATCCTCACACAAATTTTAAAATTCCAAATTTGTCATATACTTTAACCCAACAACAAAGGCAATTTAGTAATCAAACTGATTTCGATTCTGATTCATGGTAATTTAGTAAACAACTTATAATGAATCAGTACCACTCCTACCCCGATTCCATGTGGTTTAGTAAACAACTTCAATGGAAATTAGGATTCTAACTCTTCTCAATCCAACTCATCCTTAATTCAATTCCTCCTCACTTGATTGCATATTAGTAAACATGTCATCTATTGGTACCGTGACTAACCGAACAACTAGCTAAGCAATATCAGCCACATGCTGTGTTTTGAGAGGTCGTCACCTTAGCCAAAGAAGCTTTGCCACAAGTCACAACTAGGGGCATTGTTAAGAGTCCCACATTGGAAGACTATAAGAGGTGGAGACTCTCCTTCACCTAGAAAGGAAGACCGCTCTCCACTTAAAAAAGGGTCTTGACCCTTGGGCTTTGAACTTTTGGGCTTTGGACCTTAGGCCTTGGGCCTTCTTCTTTCTTCCATTTATCTTTGGGTCTAGCCCCTTGTACAAATATAAACAAATATTATTATAATGAGAACATCATTCTCCGTGGATGTTACCCATCATTCGGGTGAACCAAGTATACCTTGTCCTCTGCATACTTATTTACTTACTTTACTTATAATGAACGTTACTGACTGGTAAAGGCAATAACTTGCCGACGGCCTTCACTAGTCATTAACTTGCTGAAGGTCCTCACCTTCCACTTAACCCACCAAAGGCAGTCTCGTGCCTTATCTCCCCAAAGGCACATACACATGCTGAAGGCCCTTGCCTTCACACATCATCCACCACATATCTATCTAAGTTGATATCAATTTTGGATGTCAACTTCATCAAATATGATATTTTATGACTCATATTGATCTTCCCTTTATTTTCTGGAATTTTGGTTAGGGTTTATTGGCCTTGATTTGGGCTTGTGTGGGCTTAATGCTTTTTGGGTTTTTAATTTCTTGTTGGTTATTTTGCTTTTTATTTGGGCCTATGGCTTTGTTGCTTTGTCAGTGAGCCCAGTTGGTTGGGTCTCACTTTTGAGTGTATTGTTATGCCCCTTTGTGGGTTTTTAATGAAGTCCACTTTTGAAAAACAAAAAACAAAAAACGTCCATGTATGTGTGTAAGCCACTGACGGTAGTTGATCAATGTAAAACTCATTTTCAACTATCAATGTCCATGCATGTATGTGTGTAAGCCACTGACGGTAGTTGATTAATGTAAAATTCGTGGTAGGATCCATTTCAGAAAATAGCCCATCCACTTTTGCATAGTGTCAAAGGTCAACTTTCCCCATAATCTACGCTGGGTTTGTTTTTTGACTTTCTGAGACCAGATGCACGCTTCTCATCCCAAACCATATCCATGGAAGAAAGGGAGCTCACGTAGAATTCATAATCTAGTCTAAAAAATCTACTTCCCATCTTCATTTTCATGTGAAATGGAGAATGCTACACGTGTTTGAAAATTTAGTTTTTTTGGTCAAACACATGTTTGGAATTTGGATAAATGTAAAACAGATCAACACCCTTTACCCACAACATAATTATAATTATATGTGTTGTGTTTAAGGATGAAAGTTTTCATTCTCATTCTAAATGATTATTGTGTGTGATGATAATATCATCTGACATGTCGATGTGGTGTTACAAATGAAGTACAAATTTCATTTCTACTCTAGGCGATTATTATTTTTTGAATTAAACACAAATGAAGTAAACCATTTTTAATTCTAAAGTGGATTTGCAACCATCACATGCATTCTTATGATATATCTTATTGTATTTTAGTACACATCATTAGGGTTTAAACCAGATAGATAATATAAAAGAAGCCTGTTTACTTTGACCAAATCTGTTTGCCTTGGGAATATGGATAGGTACTTTCGTCATGGTCTTTCTTTTGTAGCTTTTGTGTCAAGTCCATTTTGCCAAAAAGTTTTCCAAACCAAACCCAGCAGTCAGTCTTTTATATAAATTCCAGGGACTTTTGGCAGAAAAACGTGTTCTTATAATATAGCAAAGCGGTGAAGGATGATGATGAGACACGCAATTAAAAGAACACCAATAATGGAGCACTCCTCCTCATCTTTCGAATCTTGTCCTTGTTACAGGTGGGCTCATTACAATAAAACTCCTATCCTGTGTCCTTCCAAAATGAAAACGACAAGTGTTCTTTTATCCTTCCATTAATTTTACACATTTACAATTCAACAATATTTAGGTCTTGACTTGGTCATCTCATCTTTGAAATTTCATGTCGGGCAATTTATTTTGATCAAATTTCTCAAACATCTATTATTTTCTTATATTTGTTAGTCTAACAATCAAACATCATTTGTTTAAATTAGCAATCGTACTATATGTGTAGAGGTAGCTGTTGCTCGATAAGAATATGCGGGACATAATTTCAACTTTGCAAAAACAGTTGATGAGTAAAGTTGTCTTAAATAGTAGTGTACAAATAGATATAAGAAACAATGACACGCATAATAATCTCGAAGGTGTCGTAAGGCAGAAAAACTTGTATGAAAGGGGTATAGTATTGTTTTGCTATTTTGGCCAATCACAAAATGCCACGTGGAAAAGTTGTCATGTATGATATGCTGTGATTGGCCGGTGATAGCAAAATAATGTTATCCCCGTTTCACATAAGTGTTTCTCGTGATAAGTATGAGATGATCCTTATTAGTCAGGACTCAACTATTGTCAATTTAATATACTTTACTCACCAACTAGCTGTTAATCTAGTGATATTTTAATTTCCATTGTTAAAAGAGATCACAAGTTTGAACCACGCCACCGTTGTTGATAAAAAAAACTTACTGACACAATGAGCATTATTAGCATTATGTTTTTTTTCCTTGTTTGAGGAGACCTTGAGTTCAAATCTCATATATGATAGTTATTAATTTAAAAGTTGAACACGCCGTGTCAGTTTGATATTTACTACAAATAGAAGTTAGGAGTAGAATAAGTGAAAGATTTGCTTCCTTCTAATGTTACTGAAAATTCATAACATCGTCCATTTACGTATATGTACAAAATCTCGTTAAAAAGTATGAACATAGGACCATATTTCAAACTCTTAATCCCAGACCATTTGACAACCTTTGTTTTTTGGAAGTTTAGATCCTATTTCTTGTTTTCTAGGTATTTTTACTTGTGAAGGCATAAAAATCATGTTCAAAACATGGTAAACGGTCCCACAGCAATCCACGGAGGAAGTGCTTCAGCACGTCTCACTGCCACTGCTCACACGCAATCACTGGCGCATAAAATACTAAAAACAAATTCCAGAGTAGTCATACAAGGAAAAAAAAACAAAAGGCAGAATGATGGCCGTTGAAAAGTTTGAACGAATCGTAGCCGTTCATCAGAGGCGGCTGCAATCTTGGCCCTCTGATCCTCTACCAAACGCGTCCTCGCAATTTCTCACTGGCGCGCTTTCCCAACACCAGCGCCCAACGCCCAACGCCCTTCTTCCCCTCCTCTCAGCTTTTAAAAGCGCTCGTCTTATTCTTATTCTTCTCCTTCTTCGTCAACACCAACACCAACACCAACAGCAACACCACAACACAAACAGCAGCAACTTCTAGAGAGAGAAGCTGAAGACTATTAGAGAGAGAAAGTCAGGTCACGGACTTGCACAGTGTATTGACATGGCCGACGCCCCTCCCAGCAGTGGCGATTTCCCGGCGGTTCCGTCGCACGGCGGCCAGTACATTCAGTACAACATCTTCGGCAACCTCTTCGAGATCACCAACAAATACCGGCCTCCGATCATGCCGATCGGTCGCGGCGCGTACGGCATCGTTTGGTACGTCGTTTTTCTCAGAATCGATTCTTTCTTTTCTCCTTCTTCCTTATTTTGAGTTTTGGTTTTTGATTATTGGAGTGTTGTTTGGGATTTTGTAGCTCGGTTTTGAACTCGGAGACGAAGGAGATGGTGGCGATGAAGAAAATCGCCAACGCCTTTGACAATCACATGGACGCCAAGCGGACGCTCCGTGAGATTAAGCTGCTTCGTCATTTGGATCATGAAAATGTGAGATTAAGTGCTTGTATTAATTACCAGTTGTTTCAATTCAGTTCTAATTGCTTGTATTTATGACAAAGTTGACTTCTTTAGTTTCTTACTATTTATGGACTCAGAAAGGGGGTATTACTATATTTAGTTAATTGGCTGAAGTAGAAGCTTTTGGGAAAGATTGAGGAATTTTATAAGAGTTTACTGTTAGAGATGGAAAGTTGAGGGGTTTGCTAAAAGTAGAATTTGATGATTGTCAAACAGGTCGTAGCTATCAGGGATGTGATTCCTCCGCCTTTGAGGAGAGAATTTTCGGATGTATACATTGCCACGGAACTCATGGATACTGACCTCCATCAAATTATTCGCTCGAATCAAGGTTTATCTGAGGAGCATTGTCAGGTACTTTATAGTCTTTGCCTTTTGATTTCTACAGCCAAGCTCCATTGGTTGGTAGTTTTTGTGTAAATAAATGGTTTTTATCATTTGAGGACTGATTGGTGTATGTTGGTATGCTTTGCAGTACTTCTTGTATCAGATTCTTCGAGGACTGAAATATATACATTCGGCAAATGTTATTCATAGAGACATGAAGCCCAGCAACCTCTTGTTGAATGCCAATTGCGATCTTAAGATATGTGATTTTGGCCTCGCTCGTCCCACTGCAGAGAATGAGTTATTGACAGAGTATGTTGTTACCAGATGGTACAGGGCACCTGAGCTTCTGTTGAACTCTTCAGATTACACTGCTGCAATAGATGTGTGGTCGGTAGGCTGCATCTTTATGGAGCTTATGAATAGGAAGCCTTTGTTTCCAGGCAAAGATCATGTGCATCAGATGCGCCTATTGACAGAGGTAAGATGACCTGACTTTGACTTTGGTATTTAAGAATCACACTTTAGAAGAAATGAAATATCACTTGAAATATTTATTCTACATCTGGAATATGGTTTTCTGCTTTAATTAAAGTGGCTGCTGCATTGAATTTAACTAAGTATCTATAGTAGTTACAGTTCTACCATTCTGTTTTCCCCCATGTCACTTGAAATACTTACACATGCTTTTTATTTTTTGTTACAGCTTCTTGGGACACCAACTGAGTCTGATCTTGGGTTTGTACGGAATGAGGATGCTAGAAGATATATACGGCAGCTCCCCCCGCATCCTCGTCAGCCATTGGCGAGGCTTTTCCCACACGTTAATCCGCTGGCCATTGATCTCATTGATAGAATGTTGACATTTGATCCTACTAAAAGGATAACTGGTAATTTTCTACTCCCATGCCATTCTTCTTTTGGTGCTGTTTTTACCGGCCATATGTATAGAATGTTGACGCATTGAGGTCCCAATTATGAATTTTAATTGTGTAACTTGTGCTTCCACAGTTGAAGAAGCATTGGCTCATCCTTACCTGGAAAGACTACATGACGTAGCTGATGAACCAATCTGCAATGAGCCTTTCTCCTTTGATTTTGAGCAACAACCCTTGGGAGAAGAGCAAATGAAAGATATGATTTACAGAGAGGCTATAGCACTCAACCCAGAGTATGCTTGATTTGAAAAGCAGCATTAGTACTCGGTTTCTATACCTATGAAATAGAAAGATTTGCATTTTCAGTGCTCTTTGATAAAAAGGTTAGGAAAGATTATTGTTACCAAAATATTGCAATCATCAGTGAGCACAAGGATCGTCCTATTTCATCTACATCATTACTTAGGTGGGTTTGCTGATTTTTTCCATGATGACCGCCCATCAATTTTACTAGACCTCTATATTAATTTTTGAGGTCAGTTCCGCTTTTTTCTTTTTTGGTGATCGAACTTGTATTCTATTTATCTTGTTTGTATCTTAATTTTTTTGTTTTTGGTTTTTTGTTTTGGCTGTACCAAACTTGTACCATGTATAGCAAGATTGTATTGAGGAACCTAACTGAGATTCAATAAATATCTTTATTCACTCCTTGTGAGACTAATTTGGGATCTTCATTCACAAGCTGTGAAGCTGATGTTCTTATTTCATCTGCCTTTTGTTTGATGGACCAATTTATGCGTGACTTGATTCTCAGGGGAAGATTATTTAGGATCACAAATTTTCCATCATGTTCTTAATCCCCGTAACCATGGATTATTTGGCAGATTGGGAGTGGATCAATGAGTTCTATATAAGATATTTTAAAGATGTTTTTCTTTGATGTAAGATATTCTCTTTGGTATTAATATAATATGGTTGAGCAATGAGTAAATTAAAACTCATTTCACATCGGAGTCCTCCTTGCCGGCTTATTTGCTTGTTTTGTCACTGTAATTCATTTCCAGCATTTAAGATCTAACTGCAATGCTGTCGGCCAACATCCATCTTTCATATGAGACTATTAAGATTCAACGTCTATCTTTCTTCTAATGTGTAGTAATTGGTACCCCATGCTCAATCTGAAAGGAATTTAAGGATGAAAATGTCGGCTGTGCAAATAGTATCGGTACTCCAATTTACGAATATTTTGGGAGATATATTGATATTATTTTTGGTATCGGTGTACATCAATGTTGTTGGTTTTATTTGGATTAGAATGTCAATTAAGGTTTGATTTGGTTTATATTTGACTTAATTAGAGATATTTTTTGGTTTGAATTTGCATCTTGTTCCTTGTAATAACCTTCAAAATTCATGAAACTGTCAACTATCAGAGTATGAGGAGAGAAATAAGCTTACCCCCCAGTGTATCGGCCGATATTTTCGTCCTTAAAAGCAATTACATGAACTTGCTTACCTGAGTTGGACCACTTGCTTCAAGTTTCCTTCAAATAGGTCTTCTCAAGGGTTGCCTTCGTTTTCGGAAACTAGACTAATTGAAAGTTTGGGCATCTACAGGACTAAAATTAGTGTAGGTAGATTTATCTACAGGTTTTTGGCTCTGTGACAGTTACCACCATTTGGAATTGGGAGTTGGTGCTCATTGCCATTAAGTCTGGCAGCTGGGTCCTCTGATGATGCCAGAAGGGAAAGCTAGACCACAATTAGTGTGGCACCTACAGGACTGCACCAACTTTTTTGCATTATTTAATAGGGCCGGGAGCCTATGAACATGCATTTTCAGTTAGGACAGGAGGCTGCCACAGAGTTGCAGCAGTTGGGTTGGAACATGGATGCATCACTCTCTGTTGATAGAGATGCAGAAATGCTTGATTCCGGTGGTAACCGCGGTGGTTGGATCATCTTTTTATTCATCATAGGTCTCTCTCTCTCTCTCTCTCTCTCTCTCTCACACTCATGGACTTGACTATATATATGTTCATCACTTCTGTATGTTTGCACAAATCTATTTCTTAGAAAAACATGTGTTTTTTTTGTTTGGACCAGGAACTTTTATGTGCTTGACCCTTGCTGCTGGAGGATGGCAATCAAATTTGATTGTGTATCTGATTCAGGAATATAACGTGAAGAGCATTGATGCTGCTCAGGTTTCAAATGTAGTCAATGGTTGCACTTGTTTATTTCCAATCATTGGAGCAATTATTGCAGACTCTTTTTCCGGCTGCTTCCCTGTCATCTTAATCTCTTCTTGTATCTCTTTTCTGGTAACAGCCTCACTCTGTCTCCACTCTTGCGCAAGCACGCACACACACCTTGAGTTTCATTTTTAAATTCATTACCCTTGCAGGGACTGGTCCTATTAGTTTTGACTGCAACTCTGGACTCCTTGAGGCCTACGTCATGTGATGACGGATTAAGCTTGTGTGAAACACCATCAGAATCTCAGTTTGCAGTTCTCTATGCCGGTATAGCTCTGGCATCGATTGGACTCGGAGGCACTCGCTTTACTATAGCAACAATGGGTGCAAACCAATTTGATAAACCAGAAGAGCAAGGGAATTTCTTTAACTGGTTTTTCTTTGCAATGTATACAGCTTCTGTTATAAGTTTTACAGCCATTGTCTATATTGAGGACAATGTCAGTTGGGGCTTGGGATATGGCCTATGTGCTCTTGTAAATTTGATTGGTTTACTCATTTTCTTATCGGGAAGCAATTTCTATCGTCGGGATAAGCCACAAGGCAGCCCATTTGTGAATATGGTTCGTGTTCTTGTTGCAAGCGTCCGGAAAAGGAAAGTTCTGCTCTCATCCAGAAGCGTGGATTATCACTACCACAATGATGGAGAGGCAAAGATGGTTCCTGAAACACATAAAAAGAGCTTGAGGTGCGACTTTGATTTTATAAAAAGTATCCTATTTTCCTGTTTATAAACATATTCACATCAACCTTCCTATTTCTTAAGAAAAATGGA